TGATCCTCCGAACTGTGTTCGCATAAACCATCTCCAGCACTCGGAGGCAAATAGCTACTTTGTGGAGGCAGCTGCCTCTCTCAGCGTGCGGTGTTGTATTATTGATTCGGTAAACACGAAATTGACGAGACCGGTTTTTTGAATATGGTTCATTTTGGTGCTGAAGAATGATTTGCACAAAAGGAATGAACGGCAAAGCTTTAACTGAGTCGTAAGAAAATCCACACAAAACAATTTCAAAGAGCTAAAGATGTGAAGCAGAGGTTCAGATCTGCTCGTTGAAGGCCGTGGATCTGAACGAATTCAACATTACAAGACAAAACCAGCTCCATCCAGGCAAAGGAATGAAACTAATTGCTTCCCAAATAAAAAAAAAAAAACTGAAAGACTACTTTATGAGGTCAAATGCCAGGCCGTTCGGCAGGCCAAGTAGGCGGCGAGTCCGCGGTAAATGCTAATTAGCTTCGAAAGGTTGTGCCGTGAACATGTGGGGTCAGATAAGCCAATAGATTCTTCCACTGCTAGCCTGCTGGTCCATGTTGTTGTTATTCAAGTCATCTTGACAGGAGCATTCACAGAGAGAGAGAGAGAGAGAGAGAGAGGAGAGAGTGAGAGAGAGAGAGAGAGAGAGAAGAGAGAGAGAGAGAAAGAGAGAGAGAGAGAGAGAGAGAGAGAGAGAGAAAGAGAGAGCGGGGCTAGTGCACAGCGAGATGTCACTTCCTAACCTCTGGTTCTGGGGGCTTGTGTCATCTCCACACTTGACAGATACTTTGCCTGGCCCTGGAGATCCAGTCTAAATATAGACAGGGCACAGATCTTCGCTTTAACTTACTGTTTACATTTATACAGCGCTTCAAGCAAGGCCACAAATATGTAGACACACTCACATCACGATACCAATTAACAATAAGCAATACAAAATACATAGGCTGCACAATTTAGGGGTCCATTTTCTACATATAGTCATATTTAATTTTTTCCACTGAGGTCCACTTATGACATCTGTGTTGCTTTCTGTCCCAAAACCATAATCATAATCATAACTGACCATTTCCCAACCTTGCTCGATCCCTTATATATATAAAAAATGTCATAATTGATTCTGTTCCCAACCTCTTTTTATACCTTACAGTTTAACAGGCTGTTCTTGTTGATATGTATATATGTACACATGGTATATGTATGTGTATGATAAATGTAAATGGGCTCTGTTCTGATTGGCTGCCCTGTATTGTACCACAGTCCAGGCTGAAACACTCCTTATAACTTCAGCATGAATGGGCGGGGCTAAAGTGCAGTAATGAAATGGTGGATATGTGTGCTGGTATTTACATGTTGCTTTATATGGGATATTTACATTTATGCAGGTTCAAGCTCACAAATATTCACGCATATTCATACGATAATGACTAGCAAGAAAACTAACAAGAAAATACAAATAAAAAATTTGCATCATTAACATATATATATGCCTGCCACCCAATGACAGCTGGGATAGGCTCCAGCACCCCACCGCGACCCAGAAGGATTAGCGGTTTAGATGTTGGATGGATGGATAATATATATATATATATATATATATATATATATATATATATATATATATATATATATATATGTGTGTGTGTGTGTGTGTGTGTGTGTGATGGTGTGTATGTGTGTTTATATATGCATATGAATATATTAAAGACGCAGAATATATCGCAGAATATTTCTTTTCATTTTAAGTCCGCACAATGTTGTTGTCCAGGTTGTACATTTTTCTCATATTTTATTTCTTCCTGAGGTTCACTTATGACATTTATTGGAGTTTATATACCAAAAATATAATTATTGATACTTTTTCCAACCTCTTTATATCCCTTACAATTAAAAAGGCTATATATATACATATATATATATATATATATATACATATATATATATTAATGAGCTGTGTTGTAATCGGCGGTCCTATATTTGGCTAAAACACTCCTTATACCTTCAGCATGAATGGGTGGAGCCAAAGTGCTGTAATTTGGACAGGTGAACTTGGTTTTGTGACATCACAAAAACAATGAATTCCAAATGGGCTGTTTTTGCAGTTGTTTTGCTGTTGTATGTACTGCAGGCACTGGGGAGTGAATATGTTTTGAAACCTTAACATTGTTTACACACTAATAGTAATATCGGCCTCCACAATACTCATATAGACGGCTCCAATGACCAAATACGCCTCAGACTAATCACCGCGTCTTTCAGTGTGTGCTGTGAGGATCCTGACCAATCACAAATGTTTCTGGGACTTTGGATGAATCAGGTATGAATTTGATCCTTCATACATATATTATCTATTTAAAATGTATATTATTTCTCTTTCAGCTTCTGGACAGCTCAGTTTCGAACTGGTTTACAGCGCCATCCAACATCTCTGACAGATCGAAACATCAAAAAAGAACAGAAACATATTTTGATCAGACACTCAGTGACATTCACCAGCACTGTGGCAATCTGGTGCAGAATTTTAAGAACCTCAGCATCAAAGACTGGCAGTGAAAGCACACACCACGCGCCGTTCATCCAAGACATCTGCTCCGATGAGCATCTCGGAGCGCGCGTCTAGTGGGCCGAGATTTATAAGGTTTGCCGTAATGAAAAAATAGAAAACAGGCTAATTATTTCATTAAATATGCACTGAAGACAAACTCAGTCAAACAAGCAGTCCTGTAATTAAAGCAGAGCTAAAAAAGGCAGTCCGGGCTACTCAAGCGAAGCCCCCCTAGTTTTCCGCCCACTTGTTTTGCTTTGTTTATACGGCCGTGGGGGCGGATGATTGCCACGAGGAGCGCGTGCTGTCCGGCCTGCACGGCCTGTCTAGCATACAGCTTTAATGCAACTAATGAAAATGCTCTCCCCGGCATGGACTAGGCAGGCTAGCTGACCTGTCCATGCGGCAACGTGTTTTGGTAGCAACTGTTGCTAGGTAGGACAAGCTTTACTGAGCCATTCAACTAACAGCAGTTTAGTGCTGCTACTACGGATGTCTCTATTCATTTATTTATTTATTTATTTATTTATTTATTTGCCTGCTAATTCGATCCAGGTACTTTAGTACTGAGTATCGGTCGATACCAATCCGATCCAATATTTGTGTTTATTAGATAATACAGCCTTACAGGCAAAGTCTCTGCAATAGTTTTGTTTTTCGCCCACTCGCGAGTGAAAAAGATGGCAGGAAAAATAGCTTCACATTTCAGACATTTAGATCTCTTATCTTCTGAAAACTTGCTTGTATTGTGTCATATTGTTGTGTTGTAACTAGCATGTTAGCTTTGGCTTGTCTATTAGCTTTGGGCTAACACAAGCTTGTAGATAGTGTTAAATCAGGACACTACAAAGCATGACTTTTGTTTAAAATATAGTGTTTTTATCATTTTTAATGTGTTAATAATCTGAAAACAGCTTCATCAAAATTAACGTTCACTACTGAAATTTGTGTAAAATTACAAAAATGACCATTTACATTATTCCTATGACAGTAGGAAAAAAAAAGAAAAGAAACAAAAGATTGGAACTGGCTTAATATAGCATCAAAATAAGCCTGGATCAGCTCCAATTCTGATCTCGTATCATTTCAAATGAATAATTTTCAAAATTTATGAATTTACCAGCATTTTGTAAAGCTTGCAAAAAAAAAAAAAAAAGGCCTTTATGAGCAGAGCACTAATGAATGCCATGCTCTTACACTGCGAAACATGCGTCCAGAACACACAGGGGTTCGTAAAGAGCTGAGCAGATGTCCAGGTGGTGGACTTTCGCATAGGGCAGAACAATTTCGAGCGCTCCAGGGTATATGCTGTGGACGACTGAGTGTTTTCCAGCCTTTACTCCAGACTCAAACGTTGATGCAGTTATTGGTTTAGTCCTAATGGATCCTGGTCCCTGTTGAAATTCCCCAGGCTGCTGACTCTGGGCAACTCCGGGCAGATCATGTTTCAGCGCTGAAGGCTCTTATTGGTCACTAAGACTCTATAAGACAGGGTCTGAACCACTAAATCACTGAAGCACACAATGGAGGGCATTTTTAACACTACATCAGATACAATTAAACAACAGAAACTCCAAGCTCATCAAAAGTGAATCTGAGCTGGTGGACAAGGAAACATCTGCGTCTGCAGCACCTCAGCTGAGCACGACGAAAGAGCTCCAGCTAACTTTCAGAAACGGAGCCCTTACACAGATATCAGACATCTCAGAGAGATAAACATTAACATTAGCTGAATGTAGAAACAGCAGCACATAAGAGCTGATATGAGTGGCAAAGTGATAAATCATTAATCTGAACATCTGCTGGGAAACACTTCTGAACTCCGGCCAGAAAGATGGATGGATGGATAGATAGATAGATAGATAGATAGATAGATAGATAGATAGATAGAAGGACAGATAGACAGATAGATAGAGAGATAGATAGATGGACAGACAGACAGAGATGGACAGACAGACAGATAGACAGACAAATAGGTAGACAGACGGACAGAAAGGAAGGAAAAAGAAAGAAAGAAAGAAAAAGAAAGAAAGAAAGAAATGGCAGCTACTTATGCACAATAGTCATTAAAAGAAAGAAAAAAGGAAAAAAGAAAGAAAGAAACCATGAAAGAAAGAAAGAAAGAAAGAAAAACAGAGAAAGAAAGAAAGAAAGAAAGAAAGAAAGAAAGAAAGGACGTGTAAAGTATGTATGCTATAATATTTGGTAATAACATAATTCATACCCAATAAAGTGATGCTATAATAATGTGACCGCAGCTCTTCCCAGATTATTCCAGCTAATCAGAATTCCTGAACTACACGCTCGTGTCAGGAATTCCGCGCATTAGATCAATCACACTCTGCCATCTCCAGCTCGCGCTGTCACGCACCAGCCTGCTCCCACTGTAAACTCAGCTGCCACCGCTAACTGGACCCTGAGACCACCGCGAGATCCCCCCTCACCTCCCCACGCGCTGTGGACAGAAACTCACCTAGCAGCAGAGAGGCGAAGGTGGCAGACATCGCGCGCGCTGTGTGGAGCGGCGATCCCATCGAACTCGACTCGCGGCGCCTCAGCAGCAGCTCGACTCATTGAAAACTGAGTCTCAGTCCCGCAGACTTGGGGCGCTGAGCGCTGTGTGTGTCCAGCATGGCTCCATCATTCACTGACCCGTCCAGAACACAGCGTTAAACTTCCCCTCCACTTCGCCAGGGATGCGAGATCCAGCCTCCAGCCTGCTTCACCCGTTAAAGAACACACTCGCACACTCACGCTCTCTCACACACACGCACAGCCGGCGTGCTGGAGGTGTGTGTAGAGGAGTGGGGACCTCTGCAGTTTTGCAGGCGCACACTTTCTTCACTGAGCGTAGGACCTGATTGGTCAGCCTAAACCGACAACGGGTGTGTTTTGGTTTTATTTCCCACATCTTTTCCAACAAACCCTGCCTCCTGCGCTGGGATTGGCTGGTAGCGTCCGCTTCGGCCTGAGCTCGGATTGGCCAATAGTTACTACTCGATCCGCCCAAACGTGTCATTAACCAGTCGTAGCGAATGAGGTCGAGTTTGGCTGAAAACGGGTGGAAAATAAAATGCGAAGTTCGAATCTTTTTATTGAATCGTTGTATTCGAACTGCTCGTTTCAGAGAATCGAATGTTCGATTCGTTTCCGCTCAGGATGACGAATGATTAGCATGAGCAGCTTGTGGTAAAGGCTAATGGGTCAGTTGAACCAGTAGGCTTATGGTGATGGCCAGGACATACCTGTAACACACCTTCCCCCAGTCAGGCTGAGACTGTGACTGTGACATTAAAAGAAATGTTCATTAAAAAGGAGAAAGAAAGAAACAAACAAACAAACAATCAAACAAACAAAAAAGTAGGGAAGAAAAAACGAAGGAAAGAAAGAAAGAAACAAACAAACAAACAAACAAAAAAGTAGGGAAGAAAAAACGAAGGAAAGAAAGAAAGAAACAACCAAACAAACAAAAAAGTAGGGAAGAAAAAATGAAGAAAAGAAAGAAAGAAAGAAAGAAAGAAAGAAAGAAAGAAGGAAGGAAGGAAGGAAAGAAAGAAAGAAAGAAAGAAAGAAAGAAAGAAAGAAAGAAGAAAGAAAGAAGGAAGGAAGGAATGAAGGATGGAAAGAAAGAAAGAAAGAAACAAAGAAAGATAGAAAGAAAGAAAGAAAGAAAGAAAGAAGGAAGGAATGAAGGATGGAAAGAAAGAAAGAAAAAGGAAAGAAAGAAGAAAGGAAGTAAGGAAGGAAAGAAAGAAAGAAAGAAAGAAAGAAAGAAAGAAAGAAAGAAAGAAAGAAAGAAAGAAGGAAGGAAGGAAGGAAGGAATGAAGGACAGAAAGAAAGAAAGAAAAAGGAAAGAAAGAAGAAAGGAAGTAAGGAAGGAAAGAAAGAAAGAAAGAAGGAAGGACGTAAGGAAGGAAAGAAAGAAAGAAAGAAAAAGAAAGAAAGCATTAAAAATGTTTCATTAAAAAGAGGAAGGAAGGAAGGAAGGAAGGAAGGAAAGAAAGAAAGAAAAAAGGAAAGCTATACATGCCATAATACAGAGAGTCATGATTACAGTGAGTCAGACTGGTTCGCTGTACATTCGCCTGCTAAATAAAACACTAACAGCACACAAGGAAAACACTACATCTCAGGAGCTTCAGACTCAGAGGACGTGGTTATTATCTGAGAAATGATATCAGATGATGGTCATTTTGGGGAGGTTTAGATGATATACATATCATAAACAGCATGAACTCCATATCATAAAAAGTTCAGTACTTTATCAGGAATTCACTTCATATAGACAAAACATAGGCTTACAGCCAAACAGGCAGAGAAATGTAGATAACAGTGGAAATCCTTCAACATACACAAGGCAGAAGTCCAGAAGCACAAATGCTCTCAGGAGAAAGGATGAACAGGTAGCGACGTAAAGAACACACGGCTATTTTTAATGACACTGACTGAGGAGATGAGAGTGAAATCTTCAGAACAGAACACATGGAAATGATTCATGTAGGAACTCCTTTGGGGGGATGGAGACACGAAGCCTGCATAACTGATGGTGTTTGTTTTTCTTTGCTTTTAAATAAGAAAAAGTAACAGTTTTAGATGAGGTGTAATGTCTATGGTTCAAAATCTGTCACTGTCAAATCCTGCCTGATCATTCAATAATTGGGTCTAAAACACATTACAAATTCACTAAAGTAGACTGTAGAAGAAAAACAAACAATAATAAAAATATGACTAATGATGATGATGATGATGAGAACAATGAGAGCAACACCACCAACACGACTGTTCCTACTAATCATTATCATAGTAGTAGTAAAAATAACACAATTAATTGATAATTACCAAGTATTTTTATTATTATTATTATTCATTTAAAAAAAATAAAATTGATGATGTAATGATAAAAATGACAATAGCAGCAACACCGCCACCACCACCAACAACACCACCACCATAACATAACTACCAACAGCACCAACACCAACAATAACACTGACGACACCAACAACACCACAAACAATAACAATAACATCAACAACAGCACCAACAACAACAACACCACCAACACCACAACATAACCACCAACATAACTTACCAACAACACCACCACCACCAACAACATAACTTACCAACAACACCACCACCACCAAAAATAAAAACGTCAACATCAACACCACCAACGAGAATACCAACAATACAACCACCTCTACCAACAACAACATTGACAACATCAACATCAACAACACCAACAATGCCAACAACAACAGCAACAATAGAGTCAACAGCACCACCACCAACATCAACACCACCAACAATAACACCATCACCACCACCGCCAATAACATTACCACCAACACCAGCACCAACAACAATAACATTGACAACACAATACAAGCATGAACAACAACACCACAAGCAACAACAATAACATTAACAACAATAAAATTACCACCACCAACAATAATAACGTCAACACCAGCAATGCCACCACCAACAACATGTCAACATCAACAACACCAACGAGAACACCAACAATACAACCACCTCTACCAACAACAACATTGACAACACCAACATCAACAACACTAACAACACCAACAATACTGACAACAGCAACAATAGTCAACAGCACCACCACCAACACCACCAACAATGTCAAAAACACCACCACCACCACTACAACAATAATAACACTGAGAATGAGAATCATGATGCCAATGATATCGCCACCAACACCACCACTACCAAAAATAATGTCAACACCTACAATACAACCACCACCACCACCAACGTCAACATCAACAACACCACCAACGAGAACACCAACAATACAACCACCACCACCACCAACAACGTCAACATCAACAACACCACCAACGAGAACACCAACAATACAACCACCACCACCACCAACAACGTCAACATCAACAACACCACCAACGAGAACACCGACCATACAACCACCACTACCAACAACAACGTCAACATCAACAACACCACCAACGAGAACACCAACAATACAACCACCACTACCAACAACAACGTCAACATCAACAACACCACCAACGAGAACACCAACAATACAACCACCACTACCAACAACAACGTCAACATCAACAACACCACCAACGAGAACACCAACAATACAACCACCACTACCAACAACAACACTGACAACATCAACAACACCACCAACGAGAACACCAACGATACAACCACCACTACCAACAACAACGTCAACATCAACAACACCACCAACGAGAACACCAACAATACAACCACCACTACCAACAACAACACTGACAACATCAACAACACCACCAACGAGAACACCAACGATACAACCACCACCACCAACAACAACACTGACAACATCAACAACACCACCAACGAGAACACCAACGATACAACCACCACTACCAACAACAACGTCAACATCAACAACACCACCAACAAGAACACTAACAATACAAGCACCACTACCAACAACAACACTGACAACATCAACACTAACAACATCAACAAAAACAATGATCATAATGAGAATCATAATGCCAATGATATCTTCACCAACAGCGTCATCAAGAACACCAACAATGTCAACAATGTCAACAACACCAACACACCACCACCACCACCACAACAACAACAACAACAACAACAACAACAACAACAACAACAATATGTGTATGAATATTCATTCATTTACATAAAGTATTACAAAACAAAGCTCCTCTGATGGTATCAGTACACAGCCATTCATTCTTTTGCCCCGTGTGATTATTTTTAGTCACGGCACAAGAAACATCAAAAGCTTACACTGGCCTGTTTTTTCTTCCTCCAATTATTCATGAAGGTCTTGAGAAGAAAAGCACTGTGGCAGGATGGAACATATTATTATGATCTGGTTTGAATAAGGCAGATATGACAACTAGCAGAAATTCAATCAATGTCAGACATCACAGCCTGGAGGAACACATCATTATAGTGTAGAGAAACATCTAGGCCAGGTTTCCTTGTGGCTTTTAAAGGGGGCGGCTGGGTTCACTTCAGTGTGCGTTGTCTATTCTGCTGTGCTGACACCGGGGAGCAGATCTGCTTTGTGCTGTGTGTCTCAGTTCGTGAGCTCTTTTTTTATGCATTCAAGGAAATACATCAGGTACAACTTCCTTCCCTCGCAGTCAAATTAGCCGACTGTTCCGGGCAGGACAAAGTTCTCCCTGCCATGATTAATTCAGTGTGGGCTAGGTTAGCTTAGCATCCTGATTTGGGTCAGACACAGAGCGGCGTGTTCGCGAAAACAAAACATCTGCATAACTCTCTGGAGCACATAAAAGCTGACGTTTTAATAGAGATCTTTTACGGTCTATTGATATTATATCAGCATCTTATTAGCCAGGCTCTTTAAAACTTCCAAAGCAATTCCATCTTTCAAGTGGATTTCAATAGTTCAAACACATTGATAGTGCAGTCACGCTGCAGATTTGAACAGAAATAGAGGCTGTTGTGTCAAATTGATTTTTAAGCCTGATGGCAATAGGACTGCTGGTGACACTGCGGGAGTTTGGTGGTGGGGAGAGTTTAGACCACAAGCCCATTTCATCCACAATTAGACACATCTCGCACTGTGCGTGGTGGTCTTCCCCCGTGCGTGTAAACACCGCTGTGCTCCACCTCTTACACTGTGTTGGTGTGTATGTAAATAAAAGTATTTACAGTATTACATAAGCAACAATACACAAACACGTGTGTGCAATAATACACAATTAAATGTAATAATAACATAATATAATATATTATATATCGCTGTTGTGAGAAAAAAACCTCATATCTCCAAAATGGTTACTTTACAGGAGA